ACACACACACAAAAAGAATAAAATCTGAAAATAATTAGAATTGTTCTGGTAATAGGAAAGCAAACTAATCTTTAGATCTAGTAGTCTTTGATAGTTTTATACAAATTCGGTGCCATGAGAGTGAACATTGTTAATGTAAAAGTCCATTTTGAAAGTTTTAATTAGTTGACTGTTACGAGCACAGTTTTTGCAGTAAATAGATTTGGTTTTGGTTTTTATTTTTGGTTGGATGTGTCTGTATTGAGGTTGTTTTTATTTTTATCTCTTAAAATATCCTTTGCTTACCCCTTAGCAATATATTATCACCAGGAGTGGAGCTCTCCGTTACTGCTTACATTGGCTAGCTTTGATGTCTCACAACTCTACTGGATAGATCCTCTCCCTTTTACTACCTCTGCAGAATTCCTCCTCTACCTAGTAACCATTATATTTTTCTTAGAGTGAAGGAAGATGCCCTTTTTCACAGAACAGGAGGACCTGAGCTACTGCTGACTTCCATCATCCAATCATGTGCAAGCAAAAACACTTTTTTTTAAATTGTCCTTGCACAAGATTTGTTATTCTTTGCAAAATGGAATTTCACTACATTCTCTAAGCTGTGGGGATAATGCTCTTGCAAAGTCTAACTTACCTTGAAAAATGAACAGCCTAGTTGCTTTTAGTAAATTAACCCCGTATCTCATTTGGATTCAACCCCCTTTATCCCCTTTTCCTTCTCTTCAGTTGTCCCTTCGTTTGGGTAGACCTCTATAAAATATATTATTTAGCTTCCAAAAGTGTTGTACTACATTAAATCTTGCATTCAACCTCTAAATTCATAAATTGATTTTGAAACCAGTATGGTGGAAATGTAGCAGTCAAATAAAGTACTCATGCTTTAAACTAACTAGTTTCTGTGGTTTAATTCTTCACTGTCCTAATAATTGGAGATGCTAATACATGCAGTAGTTTGTGCTAAAAAGTGTTCCTCTTTCTCATCTTAAAAACTTGGGAGGTATGTCTATCTTATCACATAACATCTATTGTGCTACTAGCAGACTCCAATGTTTCTATATATGTTGGCGATATTGTCTTTCTGACCACTAATTCCACAAGAGAACATACCTGAAGTCCACTAACTATACTGTTACTAAAACTGACTATTCTGAGCTTTCATTTAAAAGAAAAACTCCACATTTGATTAAAAAAAATAATATACTGTAACATGTATAATTTTTCCACATGCTTTTTTGATGTTTCACGTGAATAAAGCTTACCTTTTCTTTACAAATTTCAGCTGCTGAATTGTATAAAATTAACAAGCACAGTAAAGCCTTCTTAGAACAAAACGTACATGTTTCATTTTACCACATATCCCAAAAAAGAAAAGGATTAAGGTAACTTCAGGATAGTGGGAGAAAGTCATGCTGATTATTCAATCATGGCCCAAAAGCCAAATGCAAAGTCAGAACTACTGGTGTATAATGAAAATAGAACCCAAAATTTTAAAGCCAGTTATTCCAAACTGCACACAACTATTTCAGACTTTTTGGACATCATGGAGGTTATTTACTAAACCTGGAGAGTTGAAAATCTGGTGCAGCTCTGCACAGAATCCAGCTTTGAGGTTTTTTTGTCAAAACATAATTGAACAAGCTGAAGTTAGAAGCTGGTTCGCTAACGTGCACAGCTGCACCAGATTCTGAGTGTTCCAGTTTGAAATGGTGCACAATAGCAATTTTGTAAATGAAAAAATGAACTTTACAAAAGTAGATTATGCTTACAGTATATCTCAATGATTACTTTTCATAATTACAGTAGAGCTCCTGCAGTTGTTTACTGGGTTGAGGCGTATAAACAAAATCTGTTTTTCTTCCCATGCAAACAGGTGATTTCAATGTTTTTAACATACTTTGTTTCTCTGTTAAGCTATTTGTTTTTGAGTTGTATCACATTTTAATTTATTCCTCATCATTTTCGCTTGTTTCTCATTGTTCTGAAAACTATGTGGACCATGCACTGTTGAATACATTGTATACAAGTCTTCACATGGAACGTTGTCGATTTCTATAGATGAAACACTTCAACAAACCCAATGAATTAACAAAATAAAAGTTTTTAAAAGAGCTGAATTGACTCAATCAACTGGCAAAACATCTTTCATGGCCAACCACGTGAACCACACTAAGAATGAGAGGTTCCATATACAGGTTTAGTTGGTATTTTATTTCATTTATGCTTTTGCCAGCAATGGGGCCAATTTAATAAAAGTGCAGAACAAAATAAGTGCTAAATGGAGGTTGTTGACCACAAAAATAGTGTTTGATTCAGTGAAAGTTAACACCCAATTTTTTGTTATGGGCAACATGCCAGCTTATATGTCTCTCCTCTTTCCTTGATTTTGATGAGTCGCTCCTCAGTTTGCAGTTCATTTTCTTTTAAATAGGTAATGTAGTCCCACATTTTATTTTATTTTTTATACTATATACAAAATAGTTTTTTTTGGCCAACATGGAGTTTATTCATGAAAGCAATGCAAAAACCAAAAAAAAATGATAATGATAATGTAAACAATTAAGGGTCTCATAGCAACTGTCAGATTTTAGTTTGTTAAAATCAGATAAGGGAAAGATAGTGCAAGTGTATATGTGTTCCAACAGGAAAAAGACAATGACACACTATCGCAATTATGCTAAAATAGAAACTAAGCACAACCATATATACAGTTGCAAGAAAAAGTATGTGAACCCCTTGGGATTACGTGGAGTTTTGCATGAATTGGGCATAAAATGTGCTCTGAACATCATCTAAGTCACAACAATAGAAGAACACAGTCTGCTGAACATAATACTACACAAACATTAGATGTTGCCATGGTTTAATTGCACATAACATGTAAACATTCACAGTGCAGGGAGGAAAAAGTATGTGAGGCCCTAGCTTAATGACTTCTCTCAGAGCTAATTGGAGCCAGGAGTGAGCCAACCTTGACTCCAATCAGTGTGATGATATTGGATGTGTTGCTGACAGCTGTCCTGCCCTTAAAAAACACACACCTATTTTGGGTTTACTGGTTTCAAGAAGCACTGTCGGATGTGAACCATGCCTCACAGAAAAGAGCTCTCAGAAGACCTACGATCAAGAATTGTTGACTTGCATGAAGCTGGAAAGGGTTACAAAAGTATCTCCAAAAGCCTTGATGTTCATGTGTCCACGGTAAGACAGACTGTCTACAAATGGAGAAAGCTTAGCACTGTTGCTACTCTCCCTAGGCGTGGTCGTCCTGTAAAAATGACTGCAAGAGCACAGCGCAGAATGCTGCATGAGATAAAGAAGAATCCCAGAGGGTCAGCTAAAGACCTACAGAAATCTCTGGCACATGCTAACATTTTTGTTGACACATCTACAATAAGGAAAACAGTAAACAAGAATGGAGTACATGGGAGGACACCACAGAAGAAGCCATTGCTGTCCAAAAAAATATTGCAGCACGTTTGAAGTTTGAAAAAGAGCACCTGGATGTTCCACAGTGCTACTGGCAAAATATACTGTGGACAGATGAAACCAAGATTGAGTTGTTTGGGAAGAACACACAACACTATGTGTGGAGAAAAAAAGGCACAGCACACCAACATCAAAACCTCATCCCCACTGTAAAACATGGCGGAGGAAGCATCATGGTTTGGGGCTGCTTTGCTGCCTCAGGGCCTCGATGGATTGTTGTCATTGGTGGGGAAATTAATTCCAGAGTTTATCAAGACATTTTGCAGGAAAACGTACGACCATCTGTCCGCCAACTGAAGCTCCACAGAGGATGGGTGACGCAACAGGACAATGACCCAAAGCATACAAGTAATTCAACAAAACAATGGCTGCAACAGCACAGAATACACCTTCTGGAGTGGCCCAGTCAGAGTCCTGACCTCAACCCGATTGAAATGCTGTGGCATGACCTTAAGAGAGCGATTCACACCAGACATCCCAAGAATATTGCTACACTGAAACAGTTTTGTGAAGAGAAGTGGTTCAAAATTACTCCAGATCGTTGTGCAGGTCTGATCTGCAACTACAGGAAACTACAGGTTGAGGTTATTGCTGCCAAAGAAGGGTCAACCAGTTATTAAGTCCAAAGGTTCACATACTTTTTCCTCCCTGCACTGTGAATGTTTACATGTTATGTGCAATTAAACCATGGCAACATCTAATGTTTGTGTAGTAATATGTTCAGCAGACTGTGTTCTTCTATTGTTGTGACTTAGATGACGTTCAGAGCACATTTTATGCCCAATTCATGCAAAATTCCACGTAATCCCAAGGGGTTCACATACTTTTTCTTGCAACTGTACATGCATGTGGATGTGAGAGCTTTTCAGATTTTGAGATTCCTGGAAGATTTTTATAGACCACCAAACAATGGCAGACAGATATGCACGAAACCTAGCCAACCACCTGGAGCCCATGAGATATAGGGTCTCAAGTCACCTGATATGTGTTGCTTGAGAGAGTTTTCTCTCACTGTTAGGTGGTTGACTTCTTTTCCTGCATCGCCACCCACTCCAGTGCTGACCAAGCTTGCACCAGTAAACCACATAACTCTCTTCACTCTCCAGGCTTTGCCTGTACTTTAGGTTATCACACAGAGGCTTCTTTGTTGCAATAAAACTTTACTTGCATAAACCAGCAGAACATAATGATGCAGTACAAAATCTGACCTTATCATATCCAAATCATTGTAAATAAAGATGTCTTCAAAACATGCATGTATACATTCTGTAGCAATGCGGTATTTAGAATTTAGTACCTATTGCTTCCTAAATCTTATAGAGCAGATTAGCAGCTGCCCCTCTCCTGAAAAAAGAGCAAAGGAAACCCTAAGTTAACCCTTTCTTAACAGGACACATCTCCAGTACCTTCTCTCCTTGGGAGCCTGCTTTGTACACTATGTACAACAAACCTATACACTATATTGCCAAAAGTATTGAGAGACCCCTCCAAATCAGTGGATTCAGGTGTTCCAATCGTATAAAATCAAGCACCTAGGCATGCAGACTGCTTCTACAAACATTTGTGCAAGAATGGGTTGCTCTCAGGAGCTCAGTGAATTCAAGCATGGTCACGTGATAGGTTGCCACGTTTGCAATAAGTTCATCCATAAAATTTCCTTGCTACTAAATATTCGATGGTCAACTGTTAGTGGTATTATAACAGCAACTCGGCCACAAAGTGGGAGGCCACGTAAAATGAGAGTGGGGTCAGCACATGCTGAAAGGCACAGTGCGCAGAAGTCACCAACTGTCTGCAGAGTCAATAGCTAAAGACCTCCAACTTCATGTGGCCTTCAGATTAACACAACAACAGTGCATAGAGAGCTTCATGGAATGGGTTTCCATGGGCGAGCAGCTGCATCCAAGCCAAGTGCAATGCAAAGCGTCAGATGCAGTGGTGTAAAGCACGCTTCTCTGTCTGGAAATCTGATGGACGTGTCTGAGTTTAGTGGGTGCCAGGAGAACAGTACTTGCCTGACTGCATTATGCCAAGTGAAAAGTTTGGAGGAGGGGGGATTGTGGTATGGGGTTGTTTTTCAGGGGTTGGGCTTGGTCCCTCAGTTCCAGTCAAGGGAACTCTTATATTGTCAGCATACCAAGACATTTTGGACAATTTCATGCTCCCAGTTTTGTGGGAACAGTTTGGGGATAGCCCCTTCCTGTTCCAACATGACTGCGCACCAGGGCACAAAGCAAGGTCCATAAAGACATGGATGAGTGAGTTTGGGATGGAGGAACAGTGACTGGCCTACACAGAGTCCTGACCTCAACCTGATAGAACACCTTTGGGATGAATTAGAGTGGGAATTAGACTGCAAGCCAGGCCTACTCATCCAACATCAGTGCCTGATATCACAAATTCACTTCTGGAAGAATGGTCAAACATTCCCATAGACACACTCCTAAACCTTGTGGACAGCCTTCCCAAAAGAGTTGAAGCTGTTATACCCGCCAAATGTGGGCCAACTCAATATTGAACCCTACTGACTAAGACTGGGATGCAGTTAAAGTTCATGTGTGTGTAAAGGCAGGCATCCCAATACGTTTGGCAATACAGTGTATGTTACTGCTGTTACTAAAATCACTTCTGTCCCAAAGACGCAAAAAACATCTATCTGCAAAGAGTTTAATTGGCATATATTCTGTAAGTAATCAGATATCTTTTTTCCTTGTTATTTTTTCAACTATACTTCACACATCTAAATTCTTTCTGTGTCAGGCATCTATCCCTTTTTCCACCCATCCATTCCCCTTTCATAATGCTCCATGTAATTTATAGCATGTAGATTAGAGAGTAGAAATCATTAAACAAAGTGAAAACATAAAGTCTGGGAAGAAGGCGTATTTGCTAAGAACAATTATATCTGTGCATGTAATTATAGCAATGCATGCAAAATGCCAGCGGATACCAGGTCTTTGATTTTATCCCCATCTTAGCTAAAACAATGAATTTCTCCTTTATATTAGCAAATAAAAATGAAATCACAGGAATGTCTTTATGATAACATTTATGATATGATGGAAATGTTTTCACAAAGCTGTTTTATATTATGCACTCCAGGAAGGCACCAGCCTGCCAATCATACACACGTAACAAACTGAGACGGGTAAAGAGAAACAGTAATTTAAACTAATGACCACACAAGGTCCTGTCATACATTAATTTTTTTATTTTTGTTTTATTTTTTATTTTCGCTTATATGGATCAGCCTTATTTAGTAACAAAGGATCACTAACTAAAAAATAATAATAATAATATTGTTTCTCTTCTGTTCTCATCCTACGAGTGCATGCAGATCCTTGGGTACCGCTGCAACAGCCCTATTCTGGATATAAGTAATATTTGTGACATACAGTATATCATGAGAGGCACATATGACCAAGGGACATGTTGCTTTTTCACAAAGGAGATCTGTTCCAGGGAATGTACCCTATCTTTCATATTATTGGGAGCTGGTGAGCATTTATAACACCTTCCCTTCCTCCATCTCCTCCTGGATGGGTTGAAGTGGTTTTGTGGTACCCCTTGTTTCCTTTGCCTCCTTTGCTGTGTGTCAGAGTGTGCTTAGTGCGGTGTGTGCCTCTGCATCTCTCTGCATTATGCAACCGTACTGGTTATTGTCTCTGAGCATGTGTCTGCATTATGTGGCCAACAACCACCTAGCCTACATGAGCTTGCTTTTTCTGCAATATCGCACTTGAATGTTTTCTGATATGGTGCTTCTGCAGCTGTGTTCGGAAGGGGTAGCCAATGACCATAATATGAATGGGCAAACACTGGCACTCATGTTATGAGTGGGTGAATCCAGTACATCACATCCAGAGCTTTTCATGTAGGGGATGCAGTTATGGCTTTCCCACTGGCAGGGAGATTTACTCATGAGGGCCCAGCACTACTAATCATTCCTGCATTCTATCATGATCCAGGGAGTGAACAGTCTCCTGAGCCTTCTGCTCTGTTTGGCCTGGAAACAGAATATACTGTAGTTTTCAGGGGCTATAAGCTGGGTTTCCTCTTTGTGCTGCCCCCACTTTCCTGTTTTTGTCTCTGCCCGGCCGGTGTTTCCACACAGACTAGCAGATTCCCATGCAACTCTTTCAGATCTATGGGTCTAGGAGCTCTTAGACAAAATCCTATGACAAACCGATTCAGGGCTTTTATTTTTCTTCCAGTTTATTTTACTTTCCCAAACAAATGGGGGTATCTGTTCCATCTTGCAGATGCAGCTCCTGCAGTAAAGTACACATGATCTAGGCCCTCCTCCCCCGAAAATGCCTTCCTTATCTGCTCCACAGGTTTGGGATGGAGAGCTTTTGGTTGTTACTTCAAATTGGCTCAGGTGGACGTGGTACTTTGACCCGAATAGACTGGATGTTTTGCCAGACCTAACTGTCTAGCGCTTCAGTTTCAGTATTAATTGCCATCTTGCTTCATACCTTATGCCATAGTATTTGGGGCCCAGGTCTTGGGACAGGGGTCCTGCTGATTGATGATTTGCATGTTTTGGAATTCAAAAGCACGCTGAGTTTTCAATTGCATATAGATGACATGCTTTGCGTGGTGCAAGGAAAGAAACCTTTACCCTAGGAATTATGTATAGGGCTTGCAATCATATTACCAGGAGTATCCTGTTCTTAGTTAATGACTTTTTACAGAGAGTTTTTCCTATAGCCCCCTTTACTACCTCCTGTAACTTCTTGCAGGAATTTTCCCCTTTCGACCCTTTCTTACAATGTAGATTTCCAGGTTACTGTCTAGAGCCTCCATCTTTCCTAATTCATTATTCCTCTGACAGAACATGGTTCCACATCTATCTGTCCACATTCCATACCTCATAGGGATTTTTTTTCTCATTCTGTATAGATGTAGTTTGTGATGTGTGAGTTGCCTCACAGCTTTACTTCATTCATAAATGTGGATTTTCTCTAAGCTACCTGGAAAGGTTTCTAGGCCCCAAGTTTTTTATCCGGTTGGAACAGATTTGTGCATGTTAGTCAGATGTCTGCATCTCATTTGCAGCTTGCATGTCTTACAAGTAGCATTGTGCTTTTTTTGCCCTGGGGGAGTTTAAATGATCCAGACTTAAACAGCAACTGTTGACCCTCTGAAAGGGTATTTCTCACTTCATGGAGATTCATGCAAATAAATGAGACTACTTGATTGGATCAGGTATAGGGACACAAAAAGCTGGATCACTCTAGAATGGGCCTTCAGCAGTTCCCCTTTGCTGACTGCCTAGGAGTTTCTCTACTCTACCATCTCATCTTCAATCTCATCCAATTATTGGTAACTCTATTCGAAGCTGCACATTGTTAATTAACCTATCTCTCCCTCTTCTACCCTTTCTTGCGCAATCAAGCATCTCCACTAGACTCTTTAGTTGGACCATTCTACTCTCTGCTTGAGGATAACATTTTCCAGGCTTCCTGCTTCATCAATAACAGACACTGGCCCTCCCTAGATACACTTACATCTACCATAGGTCCTTTCAAATTGACTAACTGGAAGGCCTTCTAACTCAGGCAATTTATTTCTGCTTTACAACCCCTTAATGTTTTCTTCAAACCACTGACCCACTTTGAGAGTTTATGCTCTGACAATAGCCCATTCAGACACCTGCTGTCAATTATGCCCTGTTCTTCCAACTGCAGGAACACTATCGGGTACCTTTTCTTTTACAATGGAAGCAGGATTTCCAAGTAACTTTTTCTCCTCCTCAAAAAATACTCTAAAATCCTCCATACATGCCATACTCCAGGAAGCGACCTATACAATTCTATTTGAGTGATTTAAGGTTCTTTTTGCCCTGCACAAATTCAACTCTGATGTCCCTGATATTTGTTGGTTGCCCTGAAATCAGTCTATTTATCTCTGATTTCTATTGGTTGCCACTCAGGTTGCACATCTTCATTGCTTTTTGCATTGTTTGCTAAATAAGCCCAAAAATGTTGTGTAGGTGAACAGGATGAAATGTAACGACCCATTTTCTGCCCCCCATCCCCTTGAGGCAATTTTTTGAGGCAGCTGGCATTGTCAGTATTCTAACTGAATGGACAGCTATGATTAATATCTGTCATAGATCTGAGTATAAAGTTTGCTCATATCAATGATGTATAGGTTGAGAGCTGTTATTGACATTGGTGCAGTGGTAGATATGTATAGTATATTCTTGAGTAAGTGTCCACTAAAAGTTAAATCATACAGCCAATACACAGATGAAATACATATAACTGAACTTTTGTTACCCACCCAAAGATTTTAATTTCTGTCCAACTACTCCTGATTTTTATACAGCTCTGTAAAATACAAGAGGCTAATACCAATCAAGGATACCAAGCTGCATTCATTTGTTTGCCTAGAGTTTAGCTTTTTGTCCTTCTTGGGCTTTGGTTTATAGTAAATGGCCTCAAATAGTAATTTAATGTACATGTTAGGATCTAATATAACGAGCTTAGCTGGTGAGATGTTTCTGGGTCACTGAAGAGCCCAT